TTTCTCCTTTTTCTTTAGGAACCCTGTTCGCCCAGAAGTCTGGTGGGGCCCCGGGGCCATCTGTGTCTGCTGCTACTGCTACTGCTGTTTCAGCCTCCCCTGCTGGAACCAGCGCAAGCTTTGGTTTTTCCGCACCTCAGGCCCAGAGCCTCAGCCCCGCATCCTCCTCCTCCTCCAAGGGTCCCGGCTCGGCTGAGCCGACCCCCACCGGGTCACCCTAACTCAGGCTGCCCTTTGTACCTTCTCCCCAGGCCTCTGCTCCTGCAGGAGGCCCAGCATGAATATACAGTACAATAAGAAACCGAAAAGAAACTGTTGCACAACAAATACCTCATCAACCTGTCTTGGCTGTCCAATCATGAACACAGAGCCTGAAAATTTAATGATATATCTAAAATAAATTGCTATGCATTTTATTTTGATCTAACACACACACACATGCACACACATACACACAGGAACACAACACTACGACCACATCATGCACAGACACACATCACATATATATACTTGTTAATCCTAATCGACATGCTAAACACAATCAGCTCAGCCAAAACCCACTGACAGGTGTAGTCACAACCGAACTTGAAAAGTTTTATCTTAGAACATTTTGTTTGTTTGTTGCCATTTTGTTGTCTTTTTTGATTTTGTGTTTTAGAATGATTTTTTTTTTTTTTTAGTTTTTCTCCTTTTACATACCTCAAATCAAATAACCTGCAGTGGTGTCTTTACCTCAGGAGCTGTAGTATATTTAACCTGAATCAACTTTATTTTTATATTCTTTTTGACCTAGTTGCAATCAGGGGAAGTTGGGTAACTGTCACCAGTGGAAACCTGTGTACAGAGCACCCCCCCTCACAGTGATGGGCCTCCAACTGGGGCTGCTCAGGTGTCTTCAACGTGCTGTGGCGTCAAACTGGTGATGATCTGATACTCTAGATCAGCAGATTAAATACCTCATTTCATCCTTTCAGCTGCCCTCAGTTGAGCTCTGGAGAAGTCCATTAGAAAGGTTGCAAAGCTAAAGTTTAAGTAGTTTCAGCTCCACGTGCGCGCACAAAGTTGGGTTAACAGTAACAGGCCGTTAGAGCCTGAGCTTTGTGTTTCACCCATAGCGGTACAGAGAGGTAATACTGAGGCATTCCTAGCTCCTGCAGACCAGATTTGAGTTTGTTGTTCCCCTATTTTTATTTTTTTTTGTGTGCATCCTTCCTCCAGCTGCATCCACAGAGCTGAATGTCGAGTTGGGTGGCATCGTCATCTCTGACCACACATTGGCCTCTCTGCTTTGGGGAGGGGGGGCGGCGTCTCTCTCAGGAAAAGCAATGTGACAACTGCAAGGAATCACTGTCAGTTTAAAGAGACACAAAAAAAAAAGAGGATTAATACGTGAAGAATGCACATGACTGTTTCAAAAATACCTCATCAGACTCTCTGAAAAGGAGAGTAACACTACATACCTCAAAAGGCTGTGAAGCCATCGAGACTTGACGCCCCGAATCCTACGTGAACTGAAACTGTTATGGATGTGCTGTCACACTGCTGGTGGTTTTTGGGGACAAAGAAGTGGGATGGGCTTGATATATTTCTCCTGTATTTACTTGTAGAACGTGTTTCATGCTTTCTTCTTCTTTGTTTTTTATTTTTTTCCCCCCCTTTTTTAGGTTCATCAGGTTGTCTGAGAAGAATGATATATCTGAGGTGCTTTTTCAGCAGAGAGGAACAGACAAGTTATTTTTTCATTGACATGTTGATTTTCTTTCTTAAAAAAACAAAACAAAAAAAAAAACAATGGTGTTTCCATAGGGGTAAGAAAACAACCTTAAGTTTGACTGTGTATGTTGAAATTGCATCTTTTTTGTGACAATGGCAAAATCATGATATGCATTTGAACAATCATGTGACCAGTGTTTTCTTTTTCTTTTTTTACACCTCCATCCTCTGGTTATTGCACAGCTACATACCAAAGACTAGCACAGTCAGTCCTTATGAACGCTTTGTACAATCCTGCTAACAGGATGCTGATGCATAGCAAGCAGGTCTCTGTTGGACTGCAAAAGGTGTCTCTTTCACACTCTTTCAAACTGACTGTGAGGTTTTTTTTCACAAGTAGTTAGCGGAAAGTGCATTTAAAACTGTAAAGACTGAAAACCCAATTACATGACTTGTACAGGTGGGCATATTCGACCCTTTTAACAGATTTCATTATTTAAAACTGAAGGCCGGATACAGTGGCCTCATTAACAGCTGCATTTGAATAGTTTGTTTAACCTGTTTGCGCAGTCCCTCACAGTCAATGTGGACAGTAGCCCGCATTTTCTTTTATCGATTTACCCCAGGCACAGCTTGATTATGATGAACATGTTATTGTAGGATGCTTTTCTCCCTTTAAAGTTTTTTTTTTTAAAAGCATTGAAACCCCACAAAAGAACAACATTTTCTAGCTTTACTTGTGTTGAATGTAAGGCATTTTAACTGTTTAGACCTTTTTACGCCTAGTGTGGTCTGAGGTGGGCAGCCTTGTTGCTTTTCTTAGATTGTATTTTAGCAATTATGTGTCAGGTTTTGCAGTGCAGATCGCAGGTCAGGGTTTAAGAACCTTTGAGAACTGCGCTGTTAGTCTGTCAGTATAGCCTTCGCAACCTTGTATGACACATAACTGTATTTTATAAAAGGTGAGGAGTATAGATGCTGCCTTAAAATTAGTTGCTGGTCAGATGCGGTCCATGCAGGCTTCCCTATGAAAGTTTTTCTCTTCAGGCTTAATCCTTTTGCTGCCCCCCCCCCCCCCCTTTTTTTTTTTTTTAAAATCACACGTTAGACACAAGTTATCACTCAGTTTCTTGTGTTATCAAGTGAGTTTTGATATTTATTTGTTTTTTTTCCCTTTTCCTGGTGGACCTTGCTTTTAGTAACAATCTTCATTATTTAGGCTGCCACTAAAATATTTTCTGTTTTCCAAGTCCATTCTCTCTGTTTCTTGTGCTCATTCTAAGCAATGACTGTTTGATGATGTAGCTTCACTGCCTTTGTACATTAGTGTGTTTGTGTGTGTGTGCAAGCAGGTGCAGTATATTGAGTAAGTAATAACATTAAAGGCACTGCAGGTGGCGCCACTGGTGAATTATTTTTTTTTAATGCTGAATGAGGAGGTGATAAATGACTTTTAAGAAATATTTAAGTAGATAAAGGTTTATCCACATTTTTCTGCTCAATACTCGTACAGTTCCGGTTTGTTCCGAGGTTGAAGGGCATTTTTTTGGTGGTTCCTCATAGACTGACTAAAGGGTCACTTTTCTTCCTCAGTGTTTGCTTCAACCCAGCAAACCACTCTGGTCACTGTCTTTCAAGGCTCCTGTCACTTGTCACTTGTATGGATAGGTGCATTATATATAATGTGTTGTGCCTGTATACCTGCATCCATGTGTGGAGTGTGAGTGAGTGTGTGTCCCCCCCTTCCACTTCTTCATACCACATTACCTCAGGGCAGGGAGCTGCATTCAGTGTTGCATACGATGTTGAAGCTGCATTGAGGGATAAATGCTGATAGAAGCTGCGGTCACTTCGCAGAATGCTACTTTGGATTTGGTGTCTCTTTTCTTTTTCTTTTTGTCGTCAATAACTGCATTATGGCAAGGTCTCGTTACTCAGGAAGCTGTGAAGTTGGAAGTATGCGGAACCTTTTGATTTTGGAGTCAGTTCAATTTTAAATTGTTTAAAAACTAACCTGATCTGTGTACAAACAGGTGCATATGCAAGTGGTTATTGAATACCTCATTTATCAATTTTATGTTGTTTTTGGCTTGTACAATGCTCCGTATATTAATTCAACTGTGGGGTTTGTGCATATTTTTGTACTGTTATTATTATTATGGACATGATAATAATGATATTACTGATATTATAGTTTTCTCTTTGATTAAAGCAAACAAAAAAAATAGGACAAAACATGAATGCTTGTAAAAACTGGTTTGTGCTGATTGTATTTATGAGGAGCACTTTTCTAAAGTGGTTTTCACACATTCAGTTTTGTTCATATCAGTTAATATAAAGATATGGTTCTCAGGGCTTTTAACTTGTATGTCATGATAAAGTTTTACTTTATATCCTATGTCCCTGTGTGTTGGTTAGTTGCTTTCTTTCCCCCTTTTTCATCTGAGATCACCATATAGGAACACACTAACATGCAATCAACACTCTTGGGGGGGCTTATTGTACATTTTTGCCTTGAAGCTTAAATTTTGAAAAGCATTTTTACAATCCTTCAAGTTAATTTCCAGTAAAGCTGACGTTCTCTTCGTAAACAGTCCTTATTAGGTTCAGTCATTTCAATACCAAGAAGTACAGTATTGTGCAAAAGTGTTGAGTCACCCTTTGTTTCTTTATACTTTGCTTCACTAAATTGCTAGGGTGTCTTCTTTGTTGTTCTTGTTTTCTTAGGTAATCTTCAAGATTTTGAAAGACAGCAGGTCATGTGGAATCAAGAATATGCAAATGTAAAATTTTTGATTTGAACTGTAAAACACATTGGAGGCTGTGTCATGGCTTGGGCCTGCATTTCAGCCAGTGGCAGTAGGGATGTAAAAGTAAAAGCAGGCTTTTGCCTCACTATATTATTCAGGCACTGTGTGATCTTGACAGCAAATGGAATAAAAGTCAGCAGGCCTCCAAAGACTAGCGTTGAATGTCCTTCAAGAAGAACATTTCTGAAGACAACTTAAACAAATTATACAAAGGCTTGCTTGAGAGAGTTCAGACTATGTGGAAGAATTAATGTATGTAGTAATATCAAATATAGAATTCTACACACTCTGTTTTATGTCTTATATATTGTATTTTCATATATGCTTACACATTTAAATAAATAGCTGCACCTATTGTATTTCCTCTTTTTACTAGCAAAATAGAAATAAATGTGAGGTGGCTCAAGGTTTTTGCACAGTACTATGTCTCAAGACTGAAATCTTTGGTTTAGCAGTGTGAGTTGTTATTGGTTTCTCAAGGGACTCTGACGCCACACCACTTGCAAACCAGCAAGTTCCTGGAACATTGTGTTCAGGAAATAATGTAATACAAGCAGTAACAATTCTTATCTTTCCATCAGCCCAGTGTGTTTCGTAGACTTAAAAAAAACACAAAACAAGTTTATTGATTATTAACAAGCAAACATGAATTTGTATTTTGAGTTGATGAACGTGGAGCTGTGGGAGCTGAGAACGTGACGTTATGTAGGTGGAGCCGCAATGAAGGAGGACCCAGTTATCTCAGAGCTCTCATGTTAATATCTGACAGATGCTCAGCCAGATTGTTCCTATTGATGGCCCCTTAAAATCTCTGTTGGGATGTTCACGGCATGCTGGGGATGATGCTTCACCATCAGATCCACAGTTTGGGGGCAGTCTGCCCTCTCCAGTCTGCCCCCAAACTGTGTCTCCAGTCTTGAAGTTCTTAAACTCTTTCTGAGTCAATTTATTCAGCCCTTCAAAAGCAGCACTTTGATCTGTGTGGTTTCTTTTTTTCTTTTTTTTGCATGTTTGTCACATTTCAGATCCCCATGTCATTACTTGAAATGGCCTAGTCGAAGTCCTGACCTGAAGCCGATTGAGATGGTGTGGCATGACCTTAAAAAGGCAGTTCACACTTTAAAACCTGATATTGTGGCTGGATTATAACAATTCTGCAAAGAGGAGTGGTCTAAAGTTCTTCCACAGCACTGTAAAAGACTCATTGCCAGTAATCACAAACACTTGATTGCAGCTGTTGCTGCTAAGGGTGGCCCAACCAGTTATTAGATTTAGGAAGCAACCACTTTTTCACACAGAGCCATGTAGGTTTGAAATTTCATGTCCTTCCCCTTAATAATAAACACTTTCATTTAGAAACTGCATTTCATGTTAACTTGTGTAAACTTTTGTATATTTGTGTGACAAACGTACAAAAAAATCAGGAAGGGGGGAAACACTTTTTCACACCACTATACAGAAATATATGAACATATTTTTCAGGGCTGAAAAGCAGGGAAAAAAAACTTATTAGTAATGCCCAGAACGAAGGAGTGACTATAATCTTAAACATGTCCACAGCTCTGTTGATTTTACTGATTACGGTCCTAACCACTTTGTCTCCATCTCTAGTTTTAAGCCTTATTAAATATATCATGATCACTGTTACAGCATGGTAG